TGGCCTTGAACTCAGAGAGATCCTCCGGCCTCTGCCTCCCAAGTGCTGGGATTAAAGATGTGCACCACCACGTCCGGCTTTATTTATTATTTTTATTTTATGTGTACGTGTGTATTGCCTGCATGTAGGTAAGTGCACCTGTGTTGTGCAATGCCCTCGGAGGACAGAAGAGGACATCGGATCCTCTGGAACTGGACTTACAGACAGTTAGCTGCCATGTCTGTGGTGGAATTCAAACCCAGGTCTTCTGCAAGAACAGCCAGTGAGCTGAGCCATCTCTCCAGCCCCTATTTTTGTTAATTTTACTTGCCTTTTACAAATAGTTAAGCCTAGTTTAAAAATCTGTATGTTCTATAACCAGCCAAATCGAATCCATCACAGCTCAAAGATGACAGAGCTCTAGAGGAGGATGCTAAGTGCGGTCATGAGCAGCAGTGACATGGATTCCTGCAGTGAAGTGGTTCTGGTTCAGGTATCACACAAAGATTTCAGATAAAACAGAAACAGTAAAACCTTCCGTTGCAGCCTAGAACTCGACCTGGTCAGATCTACTGCACACTGCAGCAGTTGCTCCAAGGTGGGAGGTAGATGCTAAAATGACCGCAGGATAGACTGGTATGGAGTCACAAGACTATCTCCCCCTTGTTTTTCTTTGAAGTGAAAAGAAAAAGAAGACAGGCTCCATAGATGGAGAGCCCAGGGCTCTCAGCATGCCATCTGGAAAGGGAGTGGGTGGGTGTGCAGGACCCAGTGGATGGAATTGGAACCACTCCAGCTGTGTGAACCAGGACAGTGATTACAGGCTCAGCACAGCACCCAGAGCAATCAAAACCGTCCCTTCAAACACTGAGGAGCATCTTTTGGTTTGATTGACTCCAAAATACCAAACAGAGAGAGGCACCTGAATAAACTGAAATTCTAATTAACTTTCAGTCCAAATTTAATATCCTCTACCTCAGGACAAAGTCTCTTGTAGAGACAAAAGGGGGAGGGAAGAACTACAGTAGACCCTGCAATTAGTTATCTCCAGAGAAATCTTCAAGCACAGCACAGACATTCCACCAGGAGCCTTGTTCATTTTGGAATGTTTGCTTTGAAAACAGCTCTTCTGTGGAACTCAAAGGCACTAAACAGCAACAGGAAGCCATGGGCTGTTTTGGAAAGTAAAAGTAAACAGCTGAGTAGGTCAGCTGGGAAAAGCACTCTGTTGCCTCAACATTGTATTTAAGACAAGCACATTGTGAAGGCCTGAGTATCAGTCATCCTTTATCAACGTTTGTGGTCCTAAGAAGGCATTAAATACCCTTAAACTTCCTAACACAGAACTTCAGGGAGCTGGGCTAGTGGTCGTTGGTGGTCGTTCGCACGTAGCCTAGAGATCTGAGTTTGAGATCTCAGGCTAAGGGAGGCATCTTCAAACGCCTGAGCAGTCACAAGCTATGGTCCGTCCCATTTTCCACTTCAAAGCCGCTATGCCAGAGTCTGAACCATGGCTGGTCTGAACCACAGCTTGCGTGCTGACAGGCCCCAACATAGCTACAAATCTGGCTGAACACAAAACAGGAACTAACTTAAAACTGAACTGTCTCAGCTAAACTAACCTAAGTTACTCCATTTTGCCCAAAGGAGCCATTTCAGAAGTGCTCTTTACCCTCCTTATGAAAGATACCCAGAAGGGAGAAGCAACTTTGAATTCCAAGAAAGGGCCTACCGCCTGCCACAGGGGATTGTAATCTAGGCCGCTTATCTAAACCTGCTTCGCTTACCCAAGCCTGTGTCTGCACAATGACCCATAGCTGATTGGTAAATTCAAAGTTTGCTATGTTCAAAATTTTCTGTGTTGTATAAACCTGATTGGCCCACTTATTCTGCTTTCTGTATTCCTATAAATATTCTGGCCGACTGGTGTTCAAGGCTGCTTCTATTCCCGATATAGCCCGGTTGGCCGTAAATTAAAAATTTTACCTTGCTGCTTTCAATTAAGTGGTGTGGTGATTTTTATTTGGAATCCAGCATATAACAAAAACATGTCCAGATCTGTGACTTTGTTGCAACTCAAGTGCTCAGTTCTCAAGCTTGACAGTGTCCTGCCCCAGTGTCCAAAGCATGCCAGACAGATCGTGATATACTTCCTCCTAACTGCCAATCTGAAATAAATGTCTTATTTAGAAGCCAAATTCAGGCTTCATCAGAGAGCGGAACAATTGTTGTAGAGCAGTAACAAAGAACAGGTCTGACCCAACCAGAGGACGGGAGGAATGTGA